GCCACTCGATCCTAGCGATGATGCAAAGTTAGATCACTCGAGTGGCACTAGATGACCGATATGCAAACAAGTTTGCCCCTTTTGATAGTATGGCCATCTATCCTAAACCCGGTCATCAACTTCTCTACACACTTATGACTGGTGAAATGAAATGCCCTAGGTTATACCTTTGCCTTGCGCATTTCATTCCATCTCCTCCATTGTTGATGCAACACATGCACCAACATGATCAACAATGATACGATTCACTTCATATCATCACGTGATCATATTGGTTCATCGATCTTGACTTCACTTGCTTTTCACCGTTGCCTTCGTCCATCGGCGCCAAGTCTTGCTCAAGCTTCACCGCCACGCGGTCCATCACTCTAAAGCCTCCGACTTACCCTTCACGCTTGCAACCGGTCTATCAAGCCAAGTCTTGTCTTGATCTTCTCCACCTTGATCACATGACTCAATGTCATGTCTCATGTTCAATGAGCTCCTTCCTCTTCACATGTGTGAGCTTTACAACATTTCTGAGCCATTTTCACCTTCACGGCATATGTTACTCACTCACATGTACCTGTGGACTAATCACCTGTGTATCTCACATAAACACAATTAGTCCACCTAGGTTGTCACTAAATTACCAAAACCACACAAGGACCTTTCACCTGGGCTAGCGCACCCTAGGTGCGGCGGGGGACGGAGGCGCTGAGAGGGATGGCAGCGGCGGCGCATTGGAGTGGCCTGGCAGGGTCAGCGCCCGAGCGCCACGTCTTGGAGGCGGTCGCGCGCGCCTAGCTGGGCCAGCGGCCATGCACCGGAGGCGGCAGGCAAGCCGATATGAAGGAGTACGCGGACGAGCTGATTTTTTTATTTAGAAACGGAGGAGCGGGGTCTTGGGCTGGCGTTGCGCGGTCCACCAACGGTGCATTCGGTCGCCCGGACACCCGCTTCCCTAGCATTAGCGTTTTATAAATTGACTAATTGCCACCTAGAAAAGGCTAATCGATATTTTACGAAGACATGAGAATAATACTCTTGGAACAAATTAAAGTGAGCCGGTTGAGAGAAAGGAAAAAAAAGAAGACCATAGATTGCCTTCGGTTATTAGCCTCCCTTGCCGGCTTGCCCCCCTTTTGAATCCGCCATTGCAACCAACGGTGTGGTACTTGTACTGTTGTACTACGTGTGGTGACGAATCATTGATAAACAGCCAACAAGTATTCAGCCGGCCGGGAAGACCGGTCTTCTCCCAAGCCTCATCAGCAACGCCATTCATTATCCAACGTGTCAATCGGCCTGGTAGCAGTAACACCAATTGATCCTTTCCTGAATCCTGATTGATTTGGGTCCTGCACAAGAACAGCGATCACACACGCATGTGCTACGTGGAGAGTGATAGGACATATAGAAGCCGAGCAGCTCTACTGTCACCCCATATAACACCGCGACGGCAACAGCAATAAACCAGCCGGCCGGAGCTCGACGGTGGTCCGCGGCGAGCGTTGTACGTGGAGCCGCCGGCTCGGTTCGGTAGTCATTATAATAAGCCGGCTTACAAGTCGACTTACAGTATTTTTCTCTCTTAATAAATTCTCTCTTAACAAATTCACTGTACAAATCAGCGCAGGTGTCTTATAAACCCGTCGAAAAGAGCCGCGGCGACGGCGACGGCCGGCCGGCAAATAATTGCGGGAGCTAGCATCTGATCGGTGACCGGCGGCCCCCCGGCCGGACCGGGCCGCCCCGCCAGTCCATGGCGAAATTAAATCCGGCAATGGTGGCAGGGGGGACAGATCTCGACGGGAAAGATTGCGTCTTTGTCCAGCGTCGTCAACACTGACAGCGAATCGACGCAAGATGCTAGCTGCTTCTGCTCCTGCTGCATGGATGATCTGCTCAGCTCGCACAGATGATGATATTGATATCATCGTTGATCCAGTCATCTGGGGCAATTACAGAGCTTCACCGGAGTACTACTAGTACTTCTGTGGCTGCTGCCTGAGTGGCTAATTACGCCACTGGATGTTGTCATTGATAAATCACGTCCCGTATTTATTAATTGGACCCAGTTGCTGCAAGACAAATGTCTTTTTCTTTTTTTGACAGTGCACCGAATTTGATCCAATGGTTGTACCTTTTTACTCGTATGTTTCCTCAATTTTCTCTTTTCGTTGTGTTCCAAAATTTTGGCATACTTCTGGCCTTTTTTTTTTTTGTATCTACATTGTGAACTCTGCACATGGTAGCTTTTTTTTTTGCTCATATGAGAATGTAGTATTCTTATCACTTTATCCACATTATTACTGGTAAGCAAAAGTTGCAAGTCATGTTGCAAATAGAATGTCGCTGGATCACACTACGTCTCTACGCAATCATGCTGACTTTAGTTTTTCTTTTCTTTTTCCCTGCACCTGAGTGAAGCTACCACTCACCTACACCAATAGGCTCCACTAGCTTCCTCCCCGTTTGGGCCTCCCCCACCATAAATCTCTTCAACGTACACGAGGGATAGTGCTATCGACATGGACTAATTGTTGACAGATGTACCTCAAATCTCCTCGGGGTATTATTTGAGGAGTTGAAAGTGCGGAGATTAATGATCCTTTTAGAATTTCAGCGGAATTGTGCAGGAATTTCATAGAAATCATTTTATTTTCGCATAAAACACAGAAAACATGAGAAAAATCTTGCATTCCAAAGGGTCCTAAATAAACTCGAATTGGGTTTCTTTTTCAAATGTACTCCCTCTGTTTCTAAATAACTGCCTTTTTTTCCTTGTCGTAAGTTTCATAGAAAATGTGTGCAACATTTGTATCTCTAAATAGATTTATTATAAAAAATAAATTCAACTATCTATGTAATGATATCAATTATGTACCATAATATTAATATTTTTTATATAAAATTGGTCAAATTATTTATCGGGAAGCGAGAACGACAGTAATTTAAGGATGGAGGGAGTATACCTTTAAAATTACACAATTATGCATCCAAAATGAGCTGAAAGTCAAAATCATGCATGACCGCTGTTAATAGTTTCAAATTAGTCGAGGAGGTAGATTTTTTTTTTTTTGATAACAGGCCGAGGAGGTAGATGTTGAGTTGTAGATTGATCGCCAGTTAAAAGTTTCAGTCTACACATATCTGAATTGCAAGTCACGTAAATACATATTTTCCCAATTATTGCTCATCTCAATATCGTAATTAAGACGTTTAGCTGTGCTAAGGCGTGAGACCACGTGGTACGGATCGTTACGCCATTTTATATAAGGCCTGTGGGATAGGATATGACTAACAACTACTTTTATTAGGGCCTTGTTTAGATTGCAAATTTTTGCAACTTAGATACTGTAGCACGTTTTGTTTGTATTTGACAAACTTTATTCGATCATGGACTAACTAGGCTTAAAAGATCCATCTCGTGATTTACAACAAAACTATGTAATTAGTTATTTTTTTACCTACATTTAATGCTCCATGCATACGTCCAAAAATTGATGTGATGGAGAGAGAGTGAAAAAACTTAGAATTTGGAGGTGATCTAAACGAGACCTAGCTCCTATAAGTGGACGAGTAAACTAACAACTAGTTCATAACTAATGAACTAAAAATTAGTTTCCTATTTGATACTTAGAAACTAAAAATTAGTCGTCTAGTTATTAGTTCTGTGGATCAAACAGGGCCATAATAGATAGAATTATTTGGACCATCGCAAATTATTAGAGCCCCACACAAATTTATGTCCTTGATTGATGAAAGTAAATAGTATAAATCGATAGAAATTCATAGCTAGATGCCACCAGAATTCGGCTATCTTGGGAGAAAAAAAAAGGATTCAAATTCCAATTTTTTTTTCTTTCGGAGCTTCATATTCCCATATGTTTGGGACATTTTTAATTCGTCGTCACGCACATCAGAAAGGAGGGAGAACTTTCCATGGATTTTTTATTTGACAGGAGTGTAGCATGTACTAGATGGAATATTCGATCATGAAGAGGCAGCTAGTTGTACTCGATCTAATTCAGCTGATATTGTATTAAGAAACAATAAAGAAATGATCGCTGACCTGAACAGGAGTAGCTAGGGAAATCCGACGCAATTGGTTAAAATTGAATCATGTGAGCAAGGAAATATAGGGAAAAAAAACAGGGAATTTGTTGGTGAAAAAACTGGAAGTGCATTAAGTGGCGTCGGAGGTGTCGATCAATGTGTTCACCACTTCACCTGCACCTTTTCAAAAGGTTGAGAAAAAAAGATCACTTTTCTCTTGATCTCTTATTGGAGAAGACTCCCTTCACTCCATTCCGGCATTCCCTACCTTCTTGATCGATGTCAGTACTCACGATATCGTATACCTGAATCCACAATTTTGTCTAGCTCATTTGTTTTTTCTAGGTTCCAGCCAAAATTTGACTTTTCCGCACAGATACATATACAGAAATGCATCCTAACAGAGTCCACTATTTTCATGTAGTAGTAGATCAGATCAAAAGGAAGAACATTTTTACATCAGCCTGGTCCAGGAGACGATATATGGAAACAAGATATAGAATCGATAATTAATAAAATATATACAAACACAAGCAAATTCAAACAAGAAACACTATACTCATATATCTATCTCTTTCAATCAACAGAATAGCCTTGCTGTTCGCTTGGCAAACCAATCAATACAAGCCGGGGGAAAAAAGAGCCACGAGAACAGACGAAGAAGGGGAAAAATACTAGCAGGGGAAAAGAGAAGAAAGTGAAGCAGAAGGGAATAGTAGTAAAAAGAGTAATACTAACACGCTCCTCTCTTCTCCTTCGCATTCTTCTCCTCCACCGAATGCAAGGGCGCGCGAGCGAGACCTGACCAGCTCGCGCGCGCCCCGGCCGGTGATGGCAACAACGGACGCACCACCGGCCGGAGGGCCGGCGGCCAGGCGACGCAGCGCGCTCGCCGCAGCAATGACCGCACCTCGATCATAAGGTAGCTAGTAGCTATGGCGCCTAGGCAGGCAGGCGCCTCATCGGTTGTGCAGCGGGTTGGGCCCCGTGGGCACGCGGCGCTTGTCCTCGTCGACCATCTCGCCGCCGCCGGCGCGCCACCGGCGGCCGAGCCCGATGCTGACGAGGCCGACGACCACGACGTCGAACGCGCCCCGCCTCCCGCCGCCGCCGCCGCCGCCGCCCGCCGCGGTCGCGTTCCCGGTCCCGCTCCCGGCGGCGGGCACCGCGCGCGACTCGGCGACGCACGCGGCGGCCGCGAGGAGCACTAAGCACGCGAGCACCGCGGCGCGGGACCACCGCCTCCTCATGCTGCGGGCACGCGCCGACGCGGCGCCAGGCGTAGAGCGCGCTGCAGCAGCGCCGGTGCCCGGTGGCGGCCGATGAATGAGGACGCGGGGCGCCGCGCGGCCGGCAAGCTTAACTAACAGGCGAGGCGCGTGGGGACGGCGGTGACGTGTGGATCGAGCTAGCTAGCACTAGCAGGGGCGTTGGGAGGAGCAGGAGGTGGCCGGCCGGATTCTTGCAGTGGGAGACAACAGGGGCTGGAGTGCGGTAGAGTGGAGTCAAAGCGGGGTAAAAGCTCGGAGCTGCAGGGTAGCTGAGGTTCTCGCGATCGATCTAGCTGCTGCAACGCTGCGAAGGGGGGTTTTTATGTAGGGGGTGGTGGTGGCCTGGTGGTGGGGGTGCTCGGCCATGGACGGGTTGCCATGCCATGCCTGCCTCCGGTCCACTGTGGAGAGGGCAGAGGGCAGCTAGCGGCCACGGCCAGTGCGGGGATGCCACCAAACCGCATTGAAGGATCTTCAATTCTCTGGGCCTCCCTGCCACAGTCTCAGCCCCGTAGCCGTAGCGGTAGCCAGCCGTGGGCAAGAGAGAGAGAGAGAGAAGGAAACGCCCACACCCTGACACCCAGGACCCAGGCACAGGCGCCCAGGCCACTTTGCACAGACCGAAAAGGTGCGGAGGAGATGGAAAGTTTGGTGAGCGGGGGCCCAACGCACAGAGTGAGTGAGTGTGTGACGATGCTACTCCCCCAGTCCCCCTTCCCCTTCGATCGATCGAGCTTTCTCTCTCAAAGTCACCCTCTCTCTCTCTTCGCCCACACGGCCGGACCGGACGAGGATGATTTTTGGTTTGAAAAGGCGGCCACGTACGTTTTCCTTTAGCTTGACACCATGGTGAAACTGGAGTGCAACAACCACGGTGTCTGTACAGCGCAAGTTACCCCTAGTTTGAAGTTTCTCCAACTAGCCCTTGTTATGTTTACTCGTCACCCATATAGGTTTGGCCGTTTGGGATGGAACGTGCAAGAACGAAAACGCCATGCTTCCAAGTCACCGGGTGCGTGCATGCATGTACGGTCGTTCTTTGCATGCACCGATGCACGTATGTACTAACTCCGGTTAGCAATGCATGCAACAGACGTATGGAGTCGTGACCTGCACTGTGGCGGCCGTGTTGTATTTGTAGGAGTAGTCAATGCGGCAACTGTAGTTCCATTTGGTCAGGCAGACGCTCGAGTGACGACTGTCGCCGCCGGCCGTAAGCCCATAATAACTCGAAAGAGTGCATTGGCCATGCACGGTCAAAACCCATTCGAGGGTGCCTGCCCCGTTTTGTGTGTGTATATATATATATATATATATATATATATATATATATAGTTTGTTAAAAAAAAATGCTGCCCACACCGCCTCCTCCTTCGGCCAGAGGTGCCGTGGTGCCGTTCGCTTGGAGGAATTTAGAGGATTCTGGATGAATCTGGAGAAATTTATGACAGGAAAGCAGCCGTGAACAGTAATTTTTAGTCGTGAACCGTGTGGTTTTTGCACCATCCGAACGGGGCCAGAGACGCAAGCCATGCAGGCAACATCATAGCTCATAAATGGAACAAGGAGAGAGAGCGAGCGAGACTGCGAGAGGGAGAGGGGATCGATCAGGCTAGTATAGTATTTTTGCTTCTGGTACAAGTTTGTTGGTAGGGTTGCATGACGTGGAGAGAGAGAGAGACGCGGCTATACGTACGCATGCAGTACGGTAGAGAGCGTATGTATATTTATACAAAGTGTACACTATGAGAGCTCCAAACAAAACAAAAAGCAGCTGTGCATACACAAGGAGTACTGGACGGAGCTTGCTAACAAGAACCACCTCCAAGCATGACGGGACAAAAAACGGTCAGCGGAACGGCGCCGCCGGCCGGGCCGGGGAAGAAGAAGAAGGATTGCACGGGGCGATGGAGAGACAGGAGATCTAGAGGAAGAGATGGCCGGATCGGAGCAACCAACAAAAACCTCCTTCGCTACCCTCTCCTCCTTCTCTGGGTTTGTTGGAACCGGTGGTGACCACCGAGTTCATGATCTTGGAGCTGGCTTGCAGTCGGCCCGGCTCGTTACGAGCCTGCGCTCCCACAGGTCCTAGGTCCACCGGAGCTGACAACATATAAGGCCTTGGGCCTTACTCAACCCAAAAGACTAGCCTGATAGGTGAGGGTTCTTCCGCCTTATATGTTGTGCTCCCCCACTATCGCTACACGATGTGGGACTAAACTCCAACAATCTCCCCCTCAGTCACACATCGGGGTGCCCCCACCATATGTGACGCTCGAGATTTTTTTATCGGGTTTAGCTTTTCTCACAATGGGCTCTCGATACCAATTGTTGGAACCGGTGGTGACCACCGAGTTCATGATCTTGGAGCTGGCTTGCAGTCGGCCCGGCTCGTTGCGAGCCTGCGCTCCCACAGGTCCTAGGTCCACCGGAGCTGACAACATATAAGGCCTTGGGCCTTACTCAACCCAAAAGACTAGCCTAATAGGTGAGGGTTCTTCCGCCTTATATGTTGTACTCCCCCACTATCGCTACCCAGTGTTAGAGCCGGCGGCTCACCGGACCTAGGATCTCGCTGGCTCCGGCGATGCCCGGAGCGCGGTCACCAGGAACTTTGTGTGTGAGAGCTCGGAACAAGAACACAGAGAAGACTGTTTCTTTCCACTACGATGCGCTTCTTTCTTTGATGCATTCAATTGATCTTATCAAGGCCTACGATCCGGTTTCCCCGCCACGGTTAGCAGCTACATGGTATACCTTATCTTGCGGTATCCATGCGACATGCACGACATGCTCACCATGACGGGAACGGCCCTTACGACGCGGTCTCGGCGTGCCCACGTGTGCAATCACCGTGGCACCCAAGAATCTACGCAAATTACAAACATGTTTGAATGTTCAGCAAACTAAACTATGCACTAAATATGGATACACAATGTGACACGATTACAGAGGGTAGAACACAACATTTCACCCCCTTAATCGTGACATAACTTACTGATGCCCACCTGTTGACGCATCTCCACGAATTTCACCCTTCCTAGTGGCTTCGTCGGGGATGTCGCGCAAGTTTGTTTATCGGTGCTCACATGATTCACTTCGCAATCCCATCAACCAACACACTCTCTTATGTAATGGTACCAAGTGTCGATGTGCTTAGTTCTTTCATGATACACCGGATTCTTGCAGCTCAAGTCTTGACTTTGTCATGTCCATGAGAAGCTTGAACTTTTGCGCTTTTTCTCCGATCAAATCTGCAATGAGTCTACTCATCCACACACCTTGGCAAGCAAAATTGAAAGTTTAGACTATATATTCGGCCTCACAACAGCGGACAAAGGATAATCGCTCTTTGTTTCGTGAGGACCAGTTACAACATTGCCATTCGGGAAGAACACCACACCAGAAGTGCTCTTTCTTTTCTCCAAGTCACCAACATGATCACCATCGAGTAGCCTAACAGTTTCGATTACGTAGTGGGTTTGTTCAGGTACTTACAACCATATTCAGTGGTTCCTGCTATGTATCTCACAATCCTCTTCAAAGCAGCCCAATGCTCATTAGTAGGAGACTCCATGAATCTACTAACCATCCCTACTGAGTAAGCAAGGTCTGGCCTAGTATTAACTAGATATCTCAAGCTACCAACAATGCTTCTGAATCTGGTTATATCTCTTGCAGTATCTGGCTTTCCTGGCAAGAGTTTACTATTATGATCCATTGGGGTATCCACTGTGTTACAGCCAGTCATACCACATTGCTCAACCAATTTTGCTGCATATGCTCTTTGGCAAATAGAGATCTCCCTAGGTTTCTGATTTACTTCCATACCTAAGTAATAGCTCAATAGGCCCAAATCACTCATACTGAAAGTTCTACACATTTGTTGCTTGAACTCTGAAATTTTCTTGCTGTCAGGTCCACATATGATGAGATCGTCTACATAGACTCCAAGTAGCAACAATGAGTCACCACTCCCTCTTTTATAGACTGCATGTTCCTCTTCACTTCTACAGAACCCCAGTTTCACAAGTTCATGGTCCAATTTTGCATTCTAGGCCCTAGGTGCCTGTTTCAGGCCATACAATGCCTTTCTTAATTTCATCACCTTCCCTGGGCACCTTGGATTCTGGAAGCCTGGAGGTTGATGAACATATACTTCCTCCTGCAAATCTCCATTCAAGAAAGCAGACTTGACATCCATGTGATGCACTTGCCACCTTCCCTGAGCTGCTAGTGCTATGATCAACTTGACAGTCTCTAGCCTAGCTACAGGAGCAAATACCTCCTCATAGCCCACTCCATGCTTTTGAGCATAGCCCTTTGCAACAAGTCTTGCTTTGTGCTTGAGTATGTTACCTTCTGGATCCCTTTTCACCTTATAAACCCACTTCAAACCTATTGTTTTGTGACCTTTTGGCAAATCTGTATAATACCAAGTGTTATTTTCTTGTATTGATTTCAACTCATTGTTCATAGCTTCCAGCCAGCACTCCTCCTCTAGTGCTTCATCTACTCCAGATGGTTCATCAGCTGCAAGCAAGCACACACCACTGAATTCATAATCCTGAACTTCTTCAGTCGAACCAAACAAATCATCAAGTGTTCTAAATCTGAGTGGTCCTCCAAAAGTATCTTCTGAATGATTACTCGGGGTGTTGCCCAATTCACAACTGGTGCTTGATTTGATCCTGGAGTATTCTAGGGACTAGGAGTTGCTTCATTTGGATAGACAACATCTCCTTGTTCTTCAACCTCACCCCCTTGGTTTTCTGCAGCAGGTTCTACTCTAGGGTTGTTTTTCATCGAAAATAACATCTCCTTGTTTTTCAACCTCACCCCCTATTGTCGGATTTTCATCAGACTGTTCATAACTGACAACAAAACTGTCTGAAAGTTGGTCTGTGTTGCTGACTGCATTGGTCCAACTCTAGGGTTGTTTTTCATCGAAAATAACATCTCTGCTGACAACCAATCTC